TCATAACCATCGTAAAGTAGGTTAGCACGGATGCTGGACTCTTCACGAACGTGCCATTCGGCAAGACTTTTGCGTTGCGCATCAGCATATTCGTGCGTGGTATGCGCACATTTTTCAAGCCCAAGAATCCATTATTTGCGCCGTAGAAACCCATCTTGTGTCCAATCTCGCCAATGTCGATGCCCGGCAGCGGCAAGTGTGTCTCCTCGTCACGCAACTGCACTATGAACATTTGTACGCCCTTCGGCTTATCGTCAATGTAAAGCTGCGCCACCAGCAGGCAATAGTTGCTGCAGTGACCCACTGTTGGCGAAATTAAATTAAAATTATTTAGCAAACAAAATACTTTATGCGCCACTCACAGCCACCAGGCCACCATTTGTATGCGCTCAGCGTTGGCGAGTTCAGCACGAATTCGTCCGTTGTCCGATCGTAATCGGCGCGCATCTCCAGTCCACGCAGGAATGTGCCATGGCCCAACTCTGTCTGCGCATAAGTGCCACAGATTTCGAAATTCTCCACGCGCCTGCCAAAGCGTTCCCACTGTTCGTCGGTGCCCTGCTTCTTGATCGCATCAACCATCATGGCGTACTGTACGGCAAACGGATGCCCAGCGGGCACAGCGCCCCAAACCATGGACGACAAGTAAAGTTTGCTGCAAATGTGAATTAAGGTGAAGCGTTTAGTAGCGTTCGTAGGCTGAAAAGTTGAAATTCATGTCTTACGGCCATATTTCATTACCGCCCGGGTTAATGCGGGCCTGCATTGCACGCAGCTTCTTTGCTAGCTCGATGGATTGTTTTACCGCTATGTCGCAGATTTCCGCATGCGACTTATAATGCAGCAGTGTATTATGATCTGTCAGGTCCTTGAAGATTTCTTGTTCTAGAAAGGAAAAATCGTTTGCAGTGATAAGAACTTGGCATACTTTTGATTTCGTAAGGTAAACTTTCTTAAAACTAAGAGTTAATTAATGCTGCAGGCATTTTTGGTTTCACTTGCGATCGGTAATAGCAAGACTGCTCTCAGATGGCTATAATTTTTATTACCTTTTAGTAATATCAGTATTACCACAACAATTAGATTAGATAAAGTTTAGAGAAGATATGTATACGCAACCTAGTCCCTGTGACCAAAGACCTTTGAAACAGTCCTTATTATTCAGAAATCTTCGAAATCCCTTGGCAAGGTGCATCTAAAGCGGTAACGGGCCCGCGGGCAAAGCTCTTTTAAGCTTTCTTTGTATAGGCGCGTGCAGAGTAAAAGCTCTCAACGCTGATCTACAGCAGCGATGGGCAGAGAGCTTTTACTCTGCTTGCGTATCTGGATACATATAACTTTAGATCACGATGTAGGGAGACAGAGGTGGCGTAATCAGCAGTACCGCTACTTTGTTCTTGGCGAATTTGACAGAATCAGCTGTTCGTGTGACGTCATTTTAGCAAACTGTTTGAATTAGGGCTGTGCGATTAATTGATTACTCAAAATTTTAATTAATCATAAAGTAAATAACTCAATTATTCGATTAATTGGAAATTATGATTACTCAAAAGTTCAGTTACTCGAGTAATCAAGATTTTTGATTAACCAAAAACAAAAATATTTGAGTAATTTGCTTTATGATTAATCAACATTTCGAGTAAAATGAGTAATCAACATTTCAACTCTTTACATATGTATAAAGTAGTTAAAGTTCCTTGATACTTTGAAAACAACGTTTCTGTTTTCAAAAATTAAAACAAAAAAAATTTTTTATATACAGAATGTAAAAAAGAAAATAAGCATTTTCCAAAGCAAACTCTTTTTACGAGCAAAATTATTTTTTTGAGTAATCATATTTCAAGTAACTCGATTAATCATCGTTTTGAGTAATCAAAATCTCGATTACTCGAGTAATTGATTAACCGAATAATTGATTAACCAACTTGCTCGAGTTATCGAATAATCGCACAGCCCTAGTTTGTATGTATGCAGAGATGTTTATATGTATGTAAATATGGCGACTTTTATGGTTTGACAGTTCACACTCTTTCTCTCCTCCATCTCCAATTATTCTTTCCATTATCTACACTATTCGTTGCTATCCTGATGTCATCACCCGCAGGAATGCGCAATCTTGTATTCTATCATTCATCATTGACTTTAGATCATCGTTGGGCAGAGAGAGCTTTTACTCTGCTCGCGCCTATACAAGATGTATAGAAAGCTTAAAAGAGCTTTGCCCGCGGGAAAGGCAGTGCCTATCAATGCTTTAGATAAGCTTTCTATACATTTTGTATAGGCGCGAGCAGAGTAAAAGCTCTCTTTGCCCAACACTGATCTAAAGTTATATGTATCCAGATCACTGGTGGAACGATCGGTAAGGAAAAACCTGACCTGAAAGGGTCGAAACATTTTCTACTTAGACTTATTTGACAATTTGGGCAAAAGGGTTCACTTGATACGACATCACCGAACAGAAAAGAGGTGGTGGGGCTCTGAATAAAATCATATAGTTTTCCCACTGTTGCAGTTGCCTGGTGGAAAATGAATTGGAATAACCTCAACACATTTTACTAAGCTTTCGCGAGACTAAAATATAATTGCATTGGCTTTATAACCAACTCTGAAAAATTTTCGGGGCTTGATAATCTGCCCTATTATGGTTGTCGACGTCGATGTCATTTTTTCATCAAAAAATAGACCTCGTAAGTCCAACATCGACGTCGACAAATTAATTTATATTTTTAACTTATGTACCTACGTACTTTTGACCTGTTTTTGGTTACAAAATTTTGATTCATAAACTGAATTATGCTTAATCACTGTCATTGACGCGTCAGCTGATAAGCAACAAACGAAATATGCATAGTACATTGATGCATACATACATATGTACATATGTGTGTGCATACCGACAAAGCCCACCCAGCCAGCCACACTTCAAGCGCTCAAAGTTCAATAATTTGATAAATAACAACAGATCACTATTTACCCAAGTCTCTCTTGAAGCGTAGCTTTTCAGCGCCTCCATGCCACCAACATGCGAATTCATATACCCGAAAACTGGCTGCACGACGTTCTCTCAGTAGATCAGGATTAACGGTGTGTGGAATAACGTCTTTTTTACCAGACATATTTTTTTTTTTTACTTTTTTAATATACGATGTTAGGAATATTATTACTAAGATTAAAAAAAAAAAAATCTAAAGAAACTCAATTTGTGTACTAAGTAATAATAAAAATTGAAGACTGTCCTTTCTTTGTTAATTCCCCTCTGCGTTACATCGAACTATTTCTACTAACAAGCGCGCACTAACTGATCGCGTACATACTCTTTGATTACAAAATACCGCTGAGTAGTAGAGCTTATGAGAAAGCTTTATCTGAGCGATAAAAGAGCATTGACACTGTTTAATAGTGATTTAAATAACTATGTATAAATATCTGTGGTCATAAGCAATAACTGCCTAAGTCGACTTAAGAAAGAATTGAGTTATATATGCTACCGTTTTCTCCAACTACTATTCCACGTTTATGTGAAACTCCCATCTCGTCCATCTCGTTAGCTCGGCTATTTAAAAAGTTATAGATTAAAATATTTTGGTTTCCCCATAAGGTTAGCATTACAATCCAAACCTTTAAAGCGTTTTTTCTCGAATTCAGGTTTTTCGACTTAGGCGCTTATTGCCTATGATCACAGATATATTTGTAAGAGCGTGTATACATATGTTTGTGTAACAAGCGTGCTGTGAGCGGGGAGTATATGTATAGGCCAAAGCAAACAGCTGGTGTAATCAACTACTTATCAGCGTTGCCAATTTTGGTACTTTCTTACCAAAACTGGTACTTTGAAAATTATTTGGAACGTTGGTAGGTTGATTTTGATTTTGGTACTTTTTCCTTAATGGTGATAGTTAGGAAAAACAATATTGTATAATTAGTTCCATCTATATTTCTGATTTTTCTATATTCTGTATTTATTCGTCAATTAAATGTCCAATAATTTAAACGAGAGCTTCAATACAATTGATCGTCAATGCGTGAAAGTTGTCGCAAAAGTCAGATTCTCAATTCTATGAGAGTTCCTTTTTTCAACCTATTCGGCTTTGTTTACTTGTACTTGAGAAATGTCAGTGTCGCCGGGAATGCGCAATTTGTATTCTATAATTCTTGGTGGCGCTGTCAACGCTACCCATGATTCAGGTTAGATAATTATTGACAGCCGCGGTTTGACACTCCCTTACAAAATAATACATTTACGAAGAACGGAGAAAGTAGAAAAGTATGCAAATTAGGAAATTAGTAGTGAAATTCCTTATGTTAATTTCAATGTATTTGCAGGAAATTTTTATACGAAATACCGAACGAAATATTAAGATATCTACGTGAATTACATATGTATGCGATTCATATGCTATTTAGCGGTATAAAAACTGAAAAAGGGCTCAAAATTTAAATACAACTACTATCAGTTTTATGTTATATCGAATTTAAAAACAATTTATTTTTAATTAGTTAAATGTGCTTTATATGCATATACAAATTAACATATTGCACAAAGACTTATGGTGTAAGAAAGCTAAATTAATTTTAAGTGCAATAATTTTGTGGTTTGTGAACACATTTGACCACGTTCAAAATTTTTTGGGCTGTAGTATACTCAAAAAAAAATTCAAAAAAATCGGATTAAAAAATTTGAATTTTTCATGAAAATTTATTAAATTTTCCTAAGTTTTGAACAGAGTTTAGAAATTACATTTTTGTGTTTTTTAGTTATAGTAAGAACTATATTTTTATAAAAAATAGAAAAAAATTTATTCAAAAATATTTTATACCGACATTGTGAAAAATTATGTGTGAAAAAATATTTTTTAATCCAATGAAATTTTTTGGTACTCTCAAAACCGTTTTGGTACGTTTTTTGGTAGGGGAAAAAATTTGTGAGTGGCAACACTGCTACTTATTTATACTTACATATGTACATTGTTTAAAGTACATCATAAATCAGAAAAAAAGGTGCAAAATGCGTATGTGATGTGAAAAACAATAACAAGCAATCGCGGAAAGCTCATTGAGGATGCAAATGCGGCTGTGAATAGTACACGTGTATGTGCTGAATTTAATATTGTTTTAAGGCCTACCGGAAATTTGAATGATCGATTTACTTTAGTTTTGTAAGCTATAAAAATTTAACCACTCATTTCACTCATGTAATATATCTTATTTTCTATTCGGGCTTGCCGAGTAGTCTGCATTAGAGATCTCTTAATTCGATTTTATCAACGTCTGCAAATAAAATTAAATTCTTCTTATATCGAGCCCTAACCGCCAAAATAACGTAGGCGCCATTTTTTCAAAATTTTCTTTTCGATGCAGAAATTTTATAAAAATATCGTTAATTTAGTACAAATTTGTATCACATATTGTCGTTTGTCATACAAAGTGGTTGCAAAACTAAAAAATAATTAACAATAACACAACGGCTTTGCAAGATTTCTAGAAGACCCCTATTGTTTGCTTAAGGCTGGTCACCATACAAGGACACCGTAGCTAAGGATTAGTCTAATGATAGCGGGTTTGATAGATCCATATCACAAATTTCGGTTATAAACCTATCTAGGGAAACTACCTCGTTTATATTCGTCTGTCATACACCTTTATCTAAGGTCTAATTATAGAGAAAATCTTTTAAAATTTATTTCAGAAAAACTTAGTTTCATCTATTCCCCAGCCGACTACCAAACAGTATGTATCGTATGTGAGAAATACTCATTTAATTATTATTTTTTCGTCAAAATGGGTTTTAACTTATCACTGACAATGAGACCTAGGGTGCAATTCTTGTTCTGTGAAAATGTGAAGTAAAAAAATTTTTCATCACTTTTCAAATTGAAATAAATTAATTTAGTCAAAAAAATTTCACTGTGAAAACTTTTTCTCCCAAACTTTCTGATAAAGAATATCATTGTGTTAAACTCACAATAATTTTCCAAATAATTACTTACTAGATGTTAAAGGAAAAGCATTTAATGATCGGGAATCGCTTAAAATGATATAATGAAATGGTAAAGTGAATAAATTAAATTTTCCCTTGACAATGAATTCTTTATTTTCACTTCACCATTTCATAGGAAACGAATTGGCCCCTGGTGTTGAATAAACCGATGCAACTGAAATGCCATTAACGCACATATAGATACATATGTACATACATACATATGCGCCTCCAGATATAAAAACCAGGTTAATAAAGGTTAATTCGATTTAAATGCATTTTTAGAAAGTTCATTTTGTTATGTTTTTGTAAATTCATTTCAAAGAATTCATTTTCGGAAAAATGCCGGTATCGAGCTTTTCATAATTAAGATCCACAAACATTGGTCTGCTTAGTGAGAGGAAAATTTCAAATTCTCACGGACTTAACAGTGCTCAAAAGTCGCTTACTTATGATATGAGTATGGGCATTGGGGTGGTCCAAAATAATTAAAGTCGGAAACAGGGTTTTCGAAAAATATTGATTTTCAAATATTCTATACCATTACTACGAACAGTTGTTTTTTCCCCGTATAAAATACATTGAAAACTTTGAGTGCTTTGAGCGACATCTAAATATTTTTTGATTTCAAAACAAAAAAATATGAGTATATTTTTGGGTTTAGAATAATCCTAAGGGGTGAGAGCATAAAAATTCCAACTCTACCTTTTCACATGCACTTTGGACCACCCTAATACACTCGTATGTTTAAAAATATAATCTATATTTTGCAAAAAACTTCTTTTTTTTTTTAAATCGTTTAATACGAAAGTATCTATGGAGCTGTACAATAAATGCGTGCATCCAAAATTATGTTAATTTAATTTTTTCCCTTTTTGTAATTTTTCAAAACAAATTAAAAAAAAACTTAGTGCGTGTAGTCCTAACGTGCGGGAGAATTGAAACTTATCTTAATACATATTTATCTTTGCCTTTATTGGTAACTTTATATACATTTGTCCCTTATATTTATCATCTTTATCTTTATCTTTATCTTTATCTTTATCTTTATCTTTATCTTTATCTTTATCTTTATCTTTATCTTTATCTTTATCTTTATCCTTATCTTTATCTTTATCTTTATCTTTCTCTTCATCTGCGGCCCCTTCTCCATCTTCGGCTTCATCTTCATCTTCCTCGCCATCTTCATCTCCATTTCCATCTTGTCAACATTAAGCGAAGCAAAACCCTTCCTACTGTTAAATGTTTCATGCCTCAAATTCTTACCTAATCCATGTCTAATCCTTACTTGGGTAAGCAGTAAGGATTACTAAAGTAAATAGTAAAGATTAGACACGAGACACTAAACAGTAGAAAGGGTTTTATTTTCTTGAATTATGAGTTGTGCCCTTATTGCAGAGGACCGTCGATTTGTATCTGTATATTAATGTAAAGAGGTTACATTCATTCGTCAAAAAAGACTTAAATAATCCTACAGACTGCCATTGACAGCAGAAAACATAGAAACTGTTATTGGTATTTTATAAGTATCTTATTTAACAGAGCGCCACCCACGCACCACCCACTGATGTAAATAACATTTACATTAATGTAAACGCCTACACCGGAAGCCACTGCAATGTGGCCTACACTGCTTAATATTAAACTGTTAACTTTCAACAGAGCAAGCAGAGAATGTTGTTGGTTTTCAACTTTTCTACAACCTTACTTAAATGAAATTTAATTAAATACTTTTTTATCATAGCACTGTAAAGAAAATCTCAAATTTTGGAATGATACAAAAACGCCGAGGCACGTAAACTTAATTTTGAATAGTAAATTATGGGTCTGATACCGTTTTTACACATCAGGTAACTTGCCCAAGATATTTTTATTTTTGTGAAAAAAATCAAATTTTTTTTTGTAATTTTTCCTTTATCAAGCTACTAGCGATGAAAATCGGTTGATAAATAAAAAACTTTTGAATGGTCAATGGTGAAATAGAAGCAAGGAATAATGTTACTCATACGCCATATCGTACACGGCAGTACGCGTACATAGATACATAGTATGTACATATGTTTCATGCCACTTGGCTGATTTGCCTGCAGTCTGTGATTTGTCAGTGTAGACTTTTGACTAACATTTGTGGTGATTTCATTTTCTGTATGGTGCATATTTTCGCTGTGTGGTGAATCTTTGTGTCTCATTTTTTTTAAGTTTAGTAGTAAGTACTAAACAATTTAACACTAACATTCGGCTTCTCTTTCTGTTTATTAACATTCTCTGGTTAAAGTACTTCAGAAGCATGTTATTGTTACAGTAGC